GAATTTCAGATTCTCCTCAACATTCTGAAATGTCTTTGGGCTCCCAAACTGGCATAGATACTGTCTAGGCAGTGACTGTCTAATAAAAACAGCTGCTTTGTGTCCAGATAGGCAGCAAAGCAAGCATGAACTCCTTATCACCTGACTTTTCAGATCTTTTTCCTAGTCTCAATAAAAAGTATGAAGGTAAGAGTCCACGAATGAGTATTTAAAAAGGCAACTAAAGTCCACGGAACTTCTCAAGTTCTTTTTTTTTTTTTTTTTTTTTTTTCATTTTCTTTTGTATGGCATTAGGGAGAATTACAGTGTACTAGCCAGTTCACGTTTCTTCTGTGAACATAATCTCTTCTTTCCACAACATTTACCTGAAGAATTAAGAGCAGTTGAGGCTAAATTAATTAAGAAAACAGACATGTATAGAATTAATCACAAGCAGCTTTACACCACATGAGGTGTAGGTAGATTAGTGGTCTGGGCTTCCTCTGTAGGCAGTGGGAAGAAGAGATACATTTTGAGGGAGATATTGTCCTGTTATAAGAAGAAATCTAAGATAGTTGGGGTGAATACCTTCTGAATGTATTCCTTTATTCTGAGCATTAACTGTTACGGATGAGACATCTCCTTTCAGCAAATCTCGTTCAGTGGACTTCTGTATGATATGAATGTCTGGGATTGAAGGGTAGGGCCCTGAAAGAGCATCCTTTGCCTTCTCTTTTGTTTTCTTGTCCCTGAATACTTAGACTAGTATTAAAAATAAAGTTAACAAGTAAAAGTAGAGAACTGAACTATGCTGCCTGCCCTTCTCCAGATATAATACTTCCTCGCTGAAAGATGTAGGGCTCCATGTTACAAACCTTTAGAATCTGTATCTCCCCTTCAGCTAGCATCCATTCTATCCTACTTTATTATTTCTTTGTTGGTCCTTTCAGGTCACAGAAACCCTGGCCACAGTGCTATAGGGAAAGGCCTATTGGATTCTTCCTCTAGACTTGACATGAGTAAGATCTCTGGTCAATCTTAAGGTTACAAGTATGGCCTTAACTTGGTTAACAATTTATTTAAGAAGAAATTAAAAGAATGGGTAAGAGAAGCTGAATTCATTGGAACTGGTAATTTCTCTTTATTAGGCCTTTGAAAAAGAATTTGGAAAAGAACCATGGAAGTTGCATAAGTGCAGTCATGGGAGAATATAGCTCTGAATTTAAATTCATTCTTTTAATTTTTAAGAGTACTTGAGAAAAAAAAAATGGCTAATGCCTAAGGACTGTTAACAAAGAGAGATGAAAATATCTTCAGCCCCTCTAGGATAGAGAAAGAGAGAAATAATTGCTCTTTGTGACAGGTTGTGTGGAGGTACAGTAAGGGAAAAACTGTAGTGAGCCATGAAATCACAGACCCTGTTGAGGTAATGATTTTTAGTCTCTAACAGAGTTCCAAATTTCAGTTCCCAAAGTCATCTTTTCAAGGTTGCAAGGTTTTTTTTTTTTTTTGTTTTTTTGTTTTTTTGTTTTGTTTGTTTTATTTGTTTTTATTTTTCCTTCTGGTATGGAGCTATAGAGAAGCTCTGAACGTCCTCCATAAAATGAGGAGGGCCCACTGCATATGTAGAGAAACACCAACTAGTTATGATTTATGTATGAAGTCATGAGCTTTACATAAACAGTTGTATAGTAAAAAAGTCCAAGAAAAAAAAAAAAATTTCCTGCATTTTCTGCTCTCCAAGCATAACCAATAGCACTGACAAACCTTGTTAAATTCAGTTCTTCCATACACCAGTACTTCAGGGATTTCCAAGGTGAAAAAAAAAAACCCAACACTGATCATTCCTGTTTTGGGCGGATCAGAACTTATTTATGATAAACAGATATTTCAGTGGCTGCTGAGTTTGAGTGCATTTCTAAGCCTGATTTTCATATAAACAAATAGGAAATAAAAAGGGATCTTAAGGTTTGTTATTAGAAGTTGTCATATTTCTTTTTGTTAATTGAGTGACTGACTCAACAGTTTTCTCTCTTACAGGAAGATTAATATATAAAGTCCTGTTTGAAATGAATAATTCTTCCTATTATATGAACATTTTAGTAGAAATGAACAGAATAATTTTCTTGCCATAACTTCAGATGTGCAGCAAAAGCTATTCTTCTGAGATTGACAACAGGAGCTCCAGGCAGGGAGCTCCAAGGCAGTTGGTTGCATATTTCAAGAAGGATAACTGTCCTACAGATTAACTACAAAAAAATATATCCTTTGTACTAATGTTAGATATATTTATAGAGAAACATATGAGGTTTATAGTAATATAGTAAAGATTCTTTGATTGCCTTTATGCTGTAGCTGAAATGAAGTGTTGGTATATTCCCATCATTTGTGGTGTGTATTTATTGGTCTAAGGTTTGCTCTGGGTAAAACTATCCTTAAAACAAACACTCAGTTCTAAGTTACATCTCTGAACCCGTAGAGTGACTCCATGTGGTTTCAACTTTACCCTTTGACAACAAATTATTATTTATGTAAGCTATCAAATCTGGACAGGACGAGCAGCTGCATGAGAAAAAAATGAAACACATAAGCCATAGTGAGAAGCATGAGGCTCTGATAACAAACTACACTTTCCTTTCTGTATTTAGTCCACTAAGAGTGAATTATTCATTACAGTCAAGCTACAGGTCCCCTAGTCTTGCCATTTCATCCACAAGTTTGTTGAAAATTAAAGCTCAGCATGAAACCTCCAGAGAATTACTCTGAGTTAGTAACACCTGCAAAGAACAGAGATTTACTGTGAGGTAAATTGCTATGTAATTGCCCACACATCAGCAAAAATTATAATTGAAAGAAATTGAATATTTTCTCTGTATTTAACTGGTGAGGATTTTGTAGGGTGTCATTTTATGTTAAGTAGAAGAGTTACCATTTAGAATGTTTCTCAGCAACAGACTGTGTTTCTTTCAATAGCATGATTTCTTTTTTATGAAAAGACTTCTGCTACTGTCAGCTGCAATTGCAACTTCATGCAATGTGTATTTAGAAACCTTTCTTAAGCTTAGAGAATATTGTCCAAGACTTCGTTTAAACTATAGATTTCACCCCCCTCTCTGTGATGTCTTGTGAATTTAGAAGTTGATTCTTTACCTTACCTAGCTTTACCCTACCTAGCTTAGCTCTAAGTGATGATTTTGATCTCTCCATCTGTAGCACATGTACACTCAGCAGCTCCCTTGACGGCCGTGGAAACTACCCAAAGCATACTTCTTTGTTTCTTCCAGATGTTTCAGGAATACACTAACTAACATGAAAAATTCAGATTGAGCTCCTAAATCAAATTGAATATTAACATTATCATGTATCCAAAGAAGGACAGAGAAACAAAGATGTCAAATTATCTTGTCTCCATATTGTGCTGCATTTTTATGTTCTGAGGTATTGCTGTCTGCATTTTCCAAGAGCCCTGTATCAATGCACAAATCACATTTGGAGTAGGATTCAGGCTTCTGTTTGATGACAATAACAACCCTGGTAAGAAATTCATGAAGCTCAAGACAAGCCTCCAAGGACCGCCTTGGAGAGAGAAATTTCTGCCTATGCCTTCAGGAGAACCATGTCCACCAGCCAAGTGGATTCTCAGTGACATCTGGTTTCAGATGTGTGGTGAAACTTGCTTCAAACTCGCTATATGCCTTTCACAATTACTGGAATAAAATATCTCTGGTGCTGAAGACAAGCCTATAAGAGACAAAGAACTCATAAGTTCATGAATGTGTTGGGCAGTAATAGGTAGTGGGTGCTGCTGCTGTATGTAATAACTGAGCTATTCTTACTGCAGCAGAGCTCGAGGCTAATATAACAAAAGTTCATTTCCTTCAATCAACATGGGATGTATTAAAAAATAATTTGCTGGGCTAGGTGAGGCTTTTCAGACACAGGTAACTGCCTGCTCTAGAGGCAACTGAAAAGTGTAGTGACACAACAAATCCCTACCAATGGACTAATCTTCCCTTTCTATAACCTTTCACACCATTTTCCCTTTTTCACTTAAGAAGGGAATTGTGGGTAAGTGGGTCTCCAGCACAGAATTATCTGTGAATGGTGGCCTCTATCTTCACTTGTGATGTTTATATCACTGTTTGTGATACAGATTCATAGAATTTAACTCATGTTACAGGGCTGGGCAAAGACCTGGTCTTTGGCTCTCAGCTCTAGGAAAGAAGAGAGGAAGCAGGTGTGTTGTATAAGCAAACCTTCATGTGTTAACAACCGTGTGCTTATCAGATAAATTTATCTGCTCCAGCTGCACTGCTCTAAGAGTGGATCTTTCATTATATACTTATATAATGTACTATGTGTATGAAATGTGCTGTCAGTTTCTTTCAGAAAAGAGTTTCATGGCATAAGGAATGTAATTATGAGGATGATCTAGCATCACCGTAGGATCTCACAGTATGAACAAAAGTACAATCCAACAGCATCCTATTTTGCTAAGTACTGTATTGTGGGAGTTAATCCCTAGAGAAAAGTGAAAGAGGAAAACAGTTGACTGCCGTTTTACTTATCAGAAGGTTGATACACTGAGAGAATGTGCATTTAGAAAACTAGTGGCAGTTCAGAGAAGCAGAGGTGGAAATCTAAAAGAAGTGTAGGACTTTGGGCTTCTGGTCCATGTTTCAAACAGTCTTTGTGATGTTCAAACTTTTGTGGATTCAAAGCTGCTCTTTTCAGAATGTGACACCTGTGGAAAAAAAACACAACATCTTAAAGAAAGAAGATTGAAATATAGGGTATACAAACCAGATTCCAATTCGCTTGAGTTCAAAAGAATGTTTTTCTGTTCCTGTTCTATGACATACATGTCTGAACATAGATGCTTGTCTTTGAATTAAGTTCTAAGTTTGTCCACCATTAATAGGAGTCAGTATACAGGAATCACATCTCTAACTTTGAAATATTGTTGGAAGTTAAATGTCATAAAAATAAGAGACAAGAAAAAAAGTCCACTGTTTTTCTAGGTTGTCCTGGGGCCAAGAAGAATGAGTTCCTGACAAGTGTTTTGGATGCACTGTCCACAGATATGGTGCATGCAGTCTCTGATCCATCATTGTCTTCCAGCCGGTGGGTTTCAGATCCTTTTGATGTGTCTTTAAAAGAGTTCTGGCAGTGGTGAATGAATTGATGAGGTCCTTCAGAAGTAATTCTTCTGCCTTCACAAAAAGTAGATTTACAAGAACCTATTTAGGATAGTTTACTTCAAAGTTACCACTGTGGACTATGCTCACTCAGTAGAGATACACTCAATGGCTAGATTCTCATCAGCCACACAGCTTAGAATTTACTTTTGCCTGCTGGTGCAGCTGCATCTCAGTCTTCCTTTGTGTTCTTATCACACTTGACGAATGAATCTGACGTTTTGATTTATGTTTTGCCTAGTTGATTCTAAAACAAACCAATGCTATCAGTATATACAGACAATTAAAACTATATAACTGCTGACAAATTTTGTACATCTGCAGGTCAGGTGCTTACTACCTGAAGAGGAGGGGCTAATATTATTATAATTTACCCTGTAATTCAAGACTTTTTTTTTGTTTTATATCTGAGACCGTTCATCATGGGATGTAATTGGACTCCAGTTTTTTGGCCAACCATATCCTAAATTTTACACAAAGGGCTATCTTCTTAATTAATTGTATTGGGGTAAGCACAGTACTGAGAACACGTTGCATTTCCCTTTCATTTCCTGAAATAGAAAAAAATGAAGAGAGAAGTAAATTAGGGAAAGACAGAATCATGAAAACACATAATGTACATAACTGAAGTACATCAGAAATCAGTATCACCAAAGTGAAAAGAGAAGATTCACTACAAAGAAACTAGTAGGCAAAAAAAGAGGTTCATGGAGCAAAACATCTAACAGTACTTTATGTATTCAGAAGTAAAGCTATAAACTGAAGTATGTGTATCAGAATAAAGAGTTGTGGGTTTTTCTTCTTTTTTTCCATTGCAGGGTTTCAGAACCTGATCCAAATCACACCCTGGAAGAGAGAGTAGTCCACTGGTACTTCAAACAACTAGATAAAAATTCCAGTGGTGACATTGGAAAGAAAGAAATCAAGCCATTTAAAAGGTTCCTAAGAAAGAAATCAAAGCCCAAAAAATGTGTGAAGAAATTTGTGGAATACTGTGATGTGAACAATGATAAATCCTTGTCAGTTCAAGAATTAATGGGATGCCTGGGAGTAACAAAAGAAGAAGGTAAAGCAGAAACAAAGAAACGCCATAGTAAGAACCTTTTCTGTCTTTTTGTTTAGATTCTTCAAAGACAAAGGCAAAGTCTGATATTTGTATATACCAGAAGTATACAGTATAGAGGAATACACTTGCCAATAACTAGTAGAGCTTTTGCTTAAGGAAGATGACAAGGAAGCTGCAAATTATTATTTTGCTCCAAGAGAATCAAGAACTTCCTTTGACCTAACCCATTAAATGCTTGCTTTCTGGAGATATGTTTCTGCATTACAGCAGGAAACAGATTATATAATGTATCCTCATTTCCATGCTTCTTTCCCACCAGACATAATAGGCTAGATTTACTGCTAAAGATTTAATAACTTTGAAATGCTCAACACTGACTAAATGCAATCTGTCTTAAGCAAGTGCTACATAATAACTGCCAAGAAATGTTGTCATTCGGCTTTCGTATAATTCCATGAAAGAAAAAGAAAAGGATGTTTCAATGAAAGATATGAAATATTTTATCTTATTTTTTGAAAGCTGTGCAGTTACCCTGCTATAAAATTGCTAATTCAGAATGAGAGTTTCACTTCTTGGGATATTATATATAACTTGCAAACCATGTTAATAATGTTTTTTTCCCCCCCTTTAGCAGCCCCTAAAACCAATACTGAGAGCACTTCATCTAGCAGGCAGGTGAGTACTCAGGAGAACACAATCTCTGTTTAGTCTTACCCACATGAATTTCTTGGGTTATCATTTGCAGCTTCAAAATGCATTAGTCTGCCATTTTACAGACCAGCAAAGAAAACAGAGCAGCATAGTGATTAACAAATCTTGACTTCATTTCTATCTGTGGCAAGTTGAATTGGTCAACTAAAGGTGGAGTAAATGTGCAAAAAACACATAATGGATTAGGCATGCTTGTGGATGTTCACAGTAAAGTATAGAGTGACATCTCGGTTAGAACAGATTGCTGTAAGTGAGCCCTCGTATAAGTCTTCTGCATTCCTGAATGAAGTCACTGTGATACATTTTTAAATGTGCATTGGTTTATATTTGTTTCCCTTTTGTTTTTAAGTGAATTAAAACTGCTCACTTTCCTGTCAGTTATGCTATAGACACAAAGTTACATTGATTGAAATTACTCCTTGTGCAAAAAGCCATGAATTTCTCATACCATATGAAAACCCATACATTTTGTGTACACCACTGAATTATTGTATGGTGGTTTTAGATACCTTTTAAAATCTTAGTAGAGAGAAAAAAGCTGTCACATTGAAGTGCGTTTGCTGGCTGAGCAAAATGATGCTGGAGAATGTAGGATTTGTAGCAGTCTGATGATGTATGTTTAAACTAAAATTGGTTTGGTCTCTGGAATGATTTTAACAATTAAAATGTCAAGTGCCCTGACAACATAATCCACGATTTGTTTTTGTGTCAGTTTTCTGCAAAGACTTTATCTCACCTTTCTGAGTAACTCTGGTGTATCTCACTCATAGACCTTTGGTTACACAAGGCATTCAGAGCTAGGAAGGCACAAAAGTAGAATTTTTGAATTTTTGGATAGAGATAAAATAGACATCGAAGAGAAGGGATTCAAATGGAAGTTCAGGAGAAAGGTTAATAAAAAATCTTATTATGTCTGTGTTTCTGTTTTTATAATCATTAATCCTAAGTATTCACTTTTATGGATTTCATTGGCACAACTTCCTGATACTTTGGCAGGTGTCCGAAGGACTGTGAAGGAAGTGAATCTGACAGTTATTTAATGATCTAATAAGAGAATCAACTTCTTACTGATCTTGCCTCACTTTTGTATTAGTTAGAGGAATCAAATGGTTTCTGCCCACAAAAACATCAGTAATTGGTGATTTGTTTTAAAAGATATTTACGTATTATATCATCAACTCTGGTAACCCTGCATCTACAAAAAGAGGAATTTAGCTAAAAAATAACCACTACTGTTGTTGTGTGGTCAGTGTCTTCACATCTAACAGAAAGCTGTATTAATTTGTTAAAAACTCAACCCAGAGTGAACCCCCAACAAGCCAAAAGAAATGTTCCTCTTATGTTGCTAGCCAGTTTGTTACTTGCTTTATCTCTGATTTGTTTAATGTTAGATTCACACATCCTAAGGCAAGCTGAACATTGGTTGTTGGTTTCACCAGAGACCTCCTACATACCTTTGATGGAATATAAAATGTTCTAACAGCTAGAGGGATGTGATAAGTTTCTGTTTGTTTAAACAAATGTTTGTGGTCATAACTTTTCAAGTCCCCTCCTACAAATCACTTATGCTTTAAACAAAGAAGCCTGAAAACAATTATCCTGTTGGAACTCAAAAACATTCAAAGAGGTTATTTTAATTATACAATGGCAATTACTGGCACACGTGCATTACACTTGAAGCATGACTAGCCCTCTCTCTTTTCTCGTAATCTGATCTTGACTTGCAGAATATGTAATAAAAGTGTCCTAGAGTTTCTATTTTTTAAAATTTTGTCCAATAATTTTGCTGAATCAGCACCAATTACTTTAAAAGCTGTTGCTGAGAAATGATAGCCTTGAATTAAGGCTGGTTCAGCAAACCATCTGTTGGCAGTTTCAGACTTGAACAATACAAGGCTGCAAATGCAGAAGGAGGCTTTCATCACAAAAGTTTTCCCTTGAAAGGAAGTTATTAAAAAGGAGCTGGGCCAAGTAGCTTCTTATAGGAAACCACCCAACTAAGAAGGAGTGATCAGATTGCTACTACTCAGGAGATCGGCACTCAAAAGCTCATTTTCAACTACAGCATTGTAGTAGTTAATATATATATATATTTATGTGTGCTTTTGCATGTATATATTGTTGAATGTTTTTTTAAATATGTGCAAGTTTGCAATTTTGCACATGCAGAAGCTTACTGAAAGAAAGCAGATATGGATACATGCACTAATATACTGAGTATCAGCAATTGCTGTTCCAAATGAGATTACGGAAGTGATGAATCTGACCCAACTAGGGCAATGGCCAAGTATATTTACATTTCTCAGCTCCATCCTGCCCAACACACATACATGCTTACATGCTGTCAATGAGACCCAAAGGGTCTTTTTGCAGCCTAACATAAAGTTTACAAGGAAACTATAGAATGTTCATAAGACTTTGGCCAGCAGCCCATTCTGTATGCATCACATGCCATAGAAAGGTATACTGCACCAGGGACTTGCCAAGGCAGTTGCAAAAACTGTGTGCTCGATAGGCATATGTTTAAAGAGGCCACAGATAAGAAATGGATAAGATGGATAAAGGTAAGATAATGCTCATAGCCTTGTCTTTAGATTCCTGAGGAACTACAGGCCAGGGATTATTTTATTTCCTATATTTAATTGTTCAGAACTCTTCCCCTGAAGTGGCATGTGGACACTGCTGAAATATAAAGAGGTAAATGTTTATGCTTGATTATTTGAAAACATCATTAATAAAGCAAATATTTCTGACTGTCTTTCAGCAAGTTTCCAAGAAGCAAGGGTGAGCAGCTTACTGATCCAAGGCAGAACTCTTTGACATGTGGGAGATTTCCTCACCAAAAGGCAATAAAAACAACTGTAGTATTTGCACTTTGTACTTAAAAATGTAAATTCACTTTGTAGAAATGAAATATTTAAACAGACTTTTTATAATCTGTGAAAATGTAATAGCTGATTTTGAAAAATTATCACATACAATGTATGTGCATTCTTTTGTTGTCTGAAATATGTAAAACGTGTTGGAGATGTAAAAGTTTGCATTTAAACTTTTTGTTTTTTTTTTTTAATAGCTCTTTGGCAAATATTAGCGAAGAAACCTGTTTCTATGTATTTTGGTTTCAATAGTATGCCTTCTTTTTCTTACCAATACTGTCATTTAAGTAGAGTTATGCTGAAAAGTCTACTGTATTCTCAATTATGTCCAAGAAATGTTGGATGTTAAGATTTCTAAGATTGAGGGAAGTGTGTAAATTCCTGTTGACTTGTTCTTGCAGGTTTTAACTGAACAATTTTGTCACAAGTGGCAATATTTTCTTCATTGTGTTTTTATTATTATGCTTCCCAAAGATCATGCAATGAGAACACAACCACTAAAGGATTCAAATGTTATTCTACAGTTAGGATTCTGTTAGAAAAGTATATCCTTCTATCCGTTTTTGAGGCATGGTAGTTTTCCTCATAGGAGTAAGGTGGATAGTAATGTGACTCCAGAGTGGTTTAACCTGAGTCTAAAAGCACGATCCTGCAGTCAGCAGAAGTAGGAGAGGAGTCTGTATGAATCAGAATTGTAAATCTAACTATGAAGAGACAGGGAAGGCTAAACAGATTTGTCAGCCTTTTCTTCTACACCTGGCTGTCCCCATTTGCCTTGGGGGTCTACCAGAGCCAAAGCTGAACAAATTATGTATGTATGTTATGAACAGTTCCCATAAGGAGGGGCTATTCACCACTCCTGCCTGAAGTTTCACCTTGCTGTCTGAAAGAAGCTCTTATAAGTTTTCATACCTCCTCTGTCATTTACCCCCACACAACACTTATTGTATGTGTGTTTGAGTGGAAAAAGAAAGAACTTGTGATGTGAATTTAGAGCAGGAGACTCACATAAATAAAGATTCATCTCTTGAACTGTTGCAAGTTACAAGCAGTTGAGTTGATTGATGTGGTTGTTGATGGACTGCTGGCATCTAGGAACTGTCATGAAAAGTCAGGAATGTTGCAACAAGCACTGATTTTGTTCTGGCTTGTTTAAATAATGTGTGAGATTTAACATGAGATTAGCTAATCCTAATAGCACCCTGGATTGAGTTTGCACCAGAAGCAGCTTTGTTGCAAATAGAAATTTTCCATTTTAATTCAGTGTATGGATAAATGCTGAAGTGATAGGAAACACTGTATACTATGGAACCATACCCCAGAAAATGTGTACTCTTAAGCTTTGACAACAGGAGGAATCAAGATGCGAGTCTGTGTTATCTTGTATTTTTGTTTTTAAAAGTATTTGTTCTTTTATAATGTTAAACTTTGAATTTAATCTTCTTTATAGATTAAAGCTCAATATGCTATCAAACTATTCTAGCAGTTTTTCTTCCGCGACACAGCCAGCTTTGAAACCAAGTACATACAAGTACAGCTATTTCACCATTGCAGTAAGTTTATGAGAAACCTCACAGTCTCATATTGTACCTGTCTTTCTCTCTTCACTTGACCCTTCATGCTTAGATTCATACCTCATTTACTTCTAAAATTCATACTTTATTTTCACCACTATTTACTCATAATAGTGATTTTTGAAGCCTGATTCTTTGTTACTGTCATTTGTATATAGCTTTAGCTGGTTCTTTTCATGAAGAAAACATATCACACCTTTTCCCCTCAGTGTGATTGTAAGGTGCTGAGCAACATTCCACCTGACTGGAAATAATAAGGAGAAAGAGGCAAAACATGAGGAATATTCAGCAACTCATGGGATCCAGGAAAGTTAATAGAAGATTTATGTAAGATTTATGTATCAATGTGACCTTCCTATATAAATGCGTGCAATCAAATATTTGCTATGTCCATGAATGGAAGATGAATGCCATGCCCACAGATTTGAAGCAACTGCCTATTTAAACTGGGAACTTGTGTAGAGAAGCGAATTTGGACTAACACCTGTTATTAAGTAGCCTTAATAGATTTTGAAATCGCAAATAAATTCTATGGGCATTCTCTCAGGTAACCAAAATCTTCTACAACATCAAGTAATTTAATGACTCAACAATGACAGAAATTCAAGGTATTTCAACTTCACACATATATTTGTCTTTATATTGTCACACATATGGGCCGTTTCAATTTTCATTACAACATTTTTCTACAAGGAATACCCAATTCTCCTGGATCTGTTTAGATCCATGTTCAGATCCCTTCCTGGAACGCACTTGAACGCCTGGTAAATTCACTTTTGTTTCCTGTATTTACTTTAAATAAACAGAATGGTGAAACTTGAAGAAATTTTGGCCCTTTTAGTAGTAACCAAGCATGGCCTTGATAGCAAAAAAAGAATCCTTGTGGATTTGCCCTGAGGGTTACAGCAGAGTACCAGTATTTACTTAGTTCCACAATAATGAATTAGTTCTAGTATTTACCCTACTTGATGAGTTGCAACAACTGAGATGCAATTTTAATTCTGCTCTTACTGAAAGCTGTATGGTAACTGCTGAGTCACAGCTTGAACCACTGATTGAGCACTTAGTCAACCCTAGGAGCACAGGTGAAGGCAGTTCACCTGTGTGACTGGATGAGGTGGAGCCTGGCTGCATCTCTCATAGATCTCATTTAAGGGCTGGCTGACCTCCTTAGGGAAGCTTTCTCCCGTGAACTTAGGATCTTCTGATACAGGTAGGCAATCTTCTTCCCTTCTTTCATGCTACCTTCTACTACTGCCAGTTCTTTTGCTATCACACCTGTGTTGTAATACCTTTCCCATCATATTGATCTGTCACACGGCACAATGTATGTTCTGGTTCTCACTGATCAATATTTGTTTTAGTTCCAGTTGTTCTTAAACATTTATTTAGAGTTTTTATATTGCTATATGTAGAAGACTAATAACATTGTAAAATATCTGTATGCTCAATGATTTGTCCAGTCTGTTGTAATATCTATTAGTTAACAGGCCACACATTGAGAAACATTCCATATTTTGTCAGTGCTTGTGATAACTTTCTTATCCTGATCCTAGCCCTAGAATTAGGTAAACTTCATAGTTCTAACTTTATCAAAGCGCATTGTTCTCATTCTTCTCCCAGTCTAACAGTGTGCCTAGCTTTTAAACCCTCATTTTTCAGAACTGGTCCCTATATGATTGCTTGGGATGACAGTGTTTCTTGATAATGTCATTTGAGGTAGTAAAAGAAGAACACAGCAAGCATCAATTCATATGAACGTAAAGGAGAAGACAAACTAAGTACTCTCAGTATGTAAGACCAGCATTACACTTTGCACTTTCCTCATTGGGAACAGGTTTTTGCCCTCAATAAATGCATTAAGCCAATGAAGAAAGCAAGCCTTCCTAGAAAGTGGAAGGAAGAATTTAAATAGAGACCACATTAAAGACGTTTAAGTGCGTGCATAGTTTGATAGATTTAGTTAATGTTTTCTTTTTACAGTGGTAATAAAAGATGGATTAATAGGGGTTAAGTAATCTTCCCTGGCAAAGATATTCTAACTGTTCCTTTCAAATATTTACACTAGCATATTATATAACTACATTTTACATTAGAAACTGGTGTGAAAGAGATTTTAATGTAGAAAGTGAAAGGTTTATTACTTTTTTCTTTAAGAAGGCAAATTGATATCATTTTGGAGTAATTACTTTGACATTAAATAGCGACCAACTAAAGTTATTAATGTTTGAAAGATTAGAATGACTATAGTGAATTACTGATACAAACTGTTCTCTTTGTGCCTTTTGATTATTTTGTTTTCAGCATTATAAGTGAAAATACGCCCTTTGTTTAAAAAGCACGAATGTTGCTTGTTATTTTTTTCTTTAAACAAAAGTGTATGTGGAAAGCATTCAGAACAATACGTCTCTAGAATGTCAAATGTGATGGGTGGTGTGGAGAGAAAGAAGCCTGTCTGCTTTTCATCTGGGTTAGAAATATTCACAATAACCTACCTTTCTTATGTTCACCTTTCCTATTTTGTCATATACTTTGTCCTCTGACTAATTTCACTGCTGAAATACAAAATCTATTGGGAGGAAAGACAAAGTGAGAATCAGCTTTGTGCACATGAACAATCTATTCTATGATCACCTTCCTGCTCCAGGTAGGCTACGCTATTTCTGATACAAGCCAGGATGCTACTGGCCCTCCTAGTCACCTGGATATACTGGTGATTCATGTTCAACTGAGCATTGATCAACACTCCCAGATCTTTTTCCACCTCATGCCTTTCTAGCCACTCTGCCCCAAGTCTTTAGCATTACATATAATTGATTTGTCTGATGTTCAGGACCTGTAACTTGGTCTTGTTGAACCTTATACAATTGGCTTCAGCCCATTGATTCAGCCTATCTAGATTCCTCTGTCAAGCCTTCCTATGCCCAGGCAGATCAATACTTCCTCCCAACTTGATGTCATCTACGAACTTAATGCAGGTGCACTCAATCTCATTGACCATCAACAGAGATGTTAAACAGGGCCAGTTGCTTGTAGAATGTTCTATCTGCCTATTTGTCCTGGTTGAGCAGTATACAACAGATCCCCACCAGGATGTCAGCCTCAAAGGCTTTCTTCCAGTCCTTACCTATAAGGACTTAACCTTATAATTATCAGAATTAAGCTCTATAGAATCAAAATACCTCCTAACGTATAGAGTTCCCCCACCATCCCTCCATACTTGCCTATCTCTCCTAAAGAGCTTAAAGCTCTCATTTGCAGTACACCAGTGATGAGAGTGATCCCACTATGTTTTGGTGATAGCATATACATCATAGCTTGCTTTCTACACCACATTATTCAACTCCTCCTGTTTCTGTCAATGCTGTGTGCATCAGTTTAGATATGATGCATCTGGGTTATCAGTCTCATCCCTAACCCAAGAGTGCTGCTTCTAGGCTCATCTCTAGCAAGCCTTGTTTTATGCCCTTCCACCTTCAAACCTTGTTTAAAGCCCTCTTAATGAGTCCCACCAACTCATGGGCAAGAGTCTTCCCTTCCAAACAAGTGAATTCCATCTATTGTCAGCAGGCCTGACAATTGCCCACTAATAAAAAATAAATCAATAAGTAAATGTGCCTTTTATCTATGTGTTCATCAGGTGGGTGTTCCTTTTCCTTTCTATACTTTTCCCTGCTACTGAAGGGATTGAGGAAAACACCACCTAAGCTCCTGCTTGTTGTTCTTATCACCCCAGCACTTTAAGGGTCTTTTCGGTAGCTCTCAGGCTCTTTTCACAACTTCACTGTTGTTAACTTGAACCAACAAAAATAGGTAATAATTGGAGGGCTATACTAGATCAAAGAGCTTCCTGAAGAAGTCAGTTTTCTGAACGCTTATTTGTTATGCTTCATCTGATCACATTTTACTGTTTCTAGGTATCTCTTTATGCCCTTATGAATCAAAGTGCTACATTTCTATTTAACTGGGTTAGTGCCTCATGAACTGATAGATTAAGCACTGTATGCACATAGAACATGAAGAAAACTGCAATATGGGTAAGCCTATTTATACCAGTTGAATCTACATAATACAGCCGAAGCAGTGAAGCCAATTGGTGGAGCAGTGCCAAGTAGTGACCTGTGGAAATATATAGGAGTAAGCCTGCTGTGAGACTGAATGAAAACAAGTTTACACCTAAATTTGTGTGCTAGTATATCCTGATCTTTTATTGGTCATTTAATCTAAATGTTGATGCATGCCAAACCTCACTTTGAGTACCTGAGGAGCAACTCTAGCTCTGTCAGCATGCAGTTGCTCCCTAGGTAGTTTTCTTGAGCCTATGTTCTGGGTTCGGTCTTCAGAGACCTCAGGCTGGAACATCAATGGAAACAAGAACCAGAACATCTGCTCTGCAGATGAGAGGTGTGCTTCTCTGAGTCTGTAGTGTATTTCTTTGTGTTAAACACAAAGGGTCCTAGGAAGATACAAAGAACAGAAGGGACACGGATGGAAATGACTTAGCTTTCTTCTTTCTGGGCACAGCATCTTGCTCAGACACTGCAAATCCACTTTTTGACTAATAAAAGGAAGACCAGCCTGTCCTTGGTTTGCTTCTCTGTCCACACATAAGGTCTGAATTTGGTCTTCTGTATTATGGTGACTCGGGTGCTTTGTTCCAAGAGAATTTGTTTTCATGGCCAATCCCATGGCTTTCTTTAGATCCAGGAAGTCTAAACAGCATTTAACAAAAATGTGAAAGCAGAAACCGGCATCTTTCTAAATTAAGAGCAGATTGGAACAGGATGAGGAAATCTGAACCACAACAAAGATAAATTCCCTTTTGTATTACTTATTCCCTAAAGATGCAAGTGAAGTTTAATTAGTTTTTTTTTTTTTTAAATGATTTTGTTCATTGTAC